TGCAAATAAACTCAATCTTTATCTTTAATAACATTATCATAACAATGTTCAATTTTCATTAATTAATTTAAATATTAGAGTATACCTATTTTAACTCTATGCATAAAAAATAATTCATTATAATTAACATCTCATTAGAAGACAATAAATCATTATACAAATCATAAATAGCATAATTTTAGTACTTGTTAAAATCCTATACACATTAAACTATAATAATTATATGTATCAAAATATCATTCATTGTGTTTAGTCACTTACTCCTAGCCAATAAAGCATAACATAAAAGAAAAACAAATAAAATATTAAAAGTATCATTCCACAAAAAAAAATCTTATATAAATTTAGAATTAACAAAATAATAAATAGAAAGCATTGTTTCGATCGATTTGGTTTAGTATCCAAATAGAGTAAACGTAAAAAAAAATAAAAAAAAATAAAAAAAAAAAAAAATAAAAAAATTTCATTATTTGATCAATTGTGGCTTAGTATTGATGGATTGTATGAATAATATGTTAAAAAAAAAAAACAAAAAAACAAAAAAAAAACAAAGAATAAGATGGCGGGGGACATGGAAGAATCGGAAAAAGAAAATGAAAAGGTAAAATAATTTTAGTGAAGGGAGATATTATTGTGTAATGTAGTGTAGATTGAGTTGACACTTGTCAAACAACCTATTAGTTTTGATAGATAAAAATTTTTTGGGAGGCCAATCACAAAATTTATCTTATTGTTTTTATACTCATATATTAATAACATATTGTATAAATAATTTTTTTCCTACAAGTTTGTCTGGGGGAGCAATGGCCCCATGGATGCCCCTGTCATCCTCCGCCCTGGCCCGCCACCATCAAATTAATCCACTTGATTACAACTGATCCTTACTCACCTATTTGACTTATCATCGCAACCACCTTGAAGGCATGAACACAGCCACCAGCTTTGGCAGCTGGTCTAAGTGCCATTACCCCATCACCACAGCAACAACACATTCTCCTACTATCACCCTAGCTAGGTTTCCAACTAGAAAACGTGATCATTGCAAAACAGAATGGTAAAGACCTAATTAATCATGGCATATATCTTATTTCTAATGGACACTTTCAAAATTTTAAATAGCTCTTGGACACAAACTCATCAATCAAAGTCGTTCTTTCCATTCTTCACTTTCTTTTGTTTTTAGGTTTTACTCGTTTTACGAAAAACAACTTTCATAAAAAAATCAATTCTTGAAAAGTTATTTTTCAAGAAATCATTTTTCAGAAAAAATATTTTCCGATGTTTGACAATCATATGAAAAAAGTACTAAAAATATATTTAAGTATTTATTTGATATAGAAAACTGAAATAAAAATAAGTTTTTTCTTACAAATTGAACTCGATAATTTAGTCTAAAAAATAGTTTTACAAATTATTAGTTATCATCTGTAGATAATATTGAAATAATTTGTAACTAATTATTGACTACCTACAATTACCAATAAAATTTTACAATTGATTAAAATTAGTCACAAATTATAGATTTAGTTATAAATGAATAGTGTTGAAAAAACAATATATTTATTAATGAATTACTTAGTTTTAAATTTTTCACAAATAATTGCAATCCTGTAATAATCATTTTCAATCATTTAAGTATAGTTTCGGTGGTGGGATAAAGGTAAAAAAAAAAAAAAAAAGAGATAAATTATTAAAATATTTATTATAAAAATAATTTTAAGGTGTAAAAATAGTTTTTAAAAATATTTAATGTATTTATAAATCAAAAAATCAAATGTTAGTAGAAATAGAGAAAAAATAAGTAAATAATTAAAAATTAATTTGATATATTTTAAATAAAAAAGAGATAGAGAAAAAATATTAAAATATATCGAGAGAGAAGTGAGTAACGTGAGAGCGAGACGACTCGTGAGAGAGAAAGAAATGTTTTTCTCTTTTTTAACTCGGAAAACACTTTTTCAAAAATATTTTATTATTTTTCATTGACTAAAAATTATTTTTCGTTAACTTTTTTCTTAAACATGAAACAAATATCAAAAAATAAGAAAAAAAAATCCTGAAACTTTGTTTTTTTCCAAACAAACATAGCCTTAATTTACTCATATTTGCTACTCACTCGGTTTCACTGTCCATTGACAAAACGTTTCCTTTAGAATGCATCCGTGGTGTTGGAGAAAGTTGCAAGATCTCCTTGTTGCCACAATGTTTGTCTTCACCATTAATGGCAAGATCCGTTGCCCCCAGGCACAAAATTATATTTGTTGCCTTTGGAAAACCCAAAGGAATCGTCTTTTGCATTGAATGTTCCAAAACAAGTACGATTAGATCTAATCATAACCGGCTAATTAACATATCATGAAATCCAATAATAGCCCAGAATTGCTACTAACAAATGTTGTTGCATTAGATTGAACTAATTTTGGAAACGTCACTCTTACGTATTACTGAAAATTCTACAAGAAACATGTGTTTCATTGTAGAATGCCCCTTTTTCACTCATCAACGTAAAGATATTTTAAAAGCAACGGAAGTCATATTGAACGCACATATGGAAAAATGCACTCCAAAACATGAATTTTCGTAACTTTTTAATCAAGTACTTGAACTCTTTTCTTTTTGATAAAGTATCCAGCTCCTAGTTATTACTTATTTGTGATTTTATTTGTGATTTATCAATCAAGTATTACTTTGATATTTGTTAAAAATAAAATGGCATGAACTTTAAACAACGACATGACATGCACTTCCAAAATCAAGGCTAATTTAAGTAGTGATATACCTATGAGCTATATCTATTTACTATAAGTTTAATTTTGGAGGAAGTTTTGGTGCTTGAATGAAAGGTAAATAGATAGTTCAAATATTTTATTAAATAAAATCGAGAGTTAAATACTCCAATGAGAAAAAAACAGAAATAATGGATATTCAAACAAATATTTCCATTAAAAATAGTTGTTCAGAACGTGATTGAAAAAAAAAAAAAGTACTTTAAATATGTACGTATGCGTGAGAAGTCTAACGGCAAAAAAAAAAAAAAAAAAATCATGTACGTGTCTCACGACATCATTTGACCAGCTAATGGATGCATATTCCATAGCAACCAAAACACGTTTTCACACTTTCATAGTGAATTATTCTATTAGGTAGGCCCATATAAAAATTTGACTTTTCGGTGATTCCAGTAAAAAATCGATCGACACCCAAAGAGCCAAGTCCAATTTCTTCCAATCTTTGTGGTAAGGGAGCTGAATTCTCCTCAATTATATTATCGAATGGAGATAAAAACAAGTTTTGTGGAGTATTTTCTATTCTCACTTCATCGACTGTGGTTAAATTAACTAGTTTTTATTTAATAATATTTTTCGTTTAGATATAAAAATTCATGATATCCATAAGCGAAAACCATCGAATCACTTTGCCATAAGGAAATTATACATAAAAAAAATAATAATAATCTTTATAATCTGAAAAATATAAATAAAATTTGATATAATTAAGAAACTTAATTCTTCGTAATCATATTTCATCGAGTGAGAATAAAGACATTTTTATTTAATTTTATCTAATTACATTTTTCTTTACATATAAAATTTTATGATATCAAATATTGAGAAAACACAAAGAAAAAAATTAATTTACTATAAATAACTTCCATAAAAAGAATTTTGATATTATAAATTATCTAAATCTTTGTGATTTTCAAAATTAATCTGTCATTTTATTATCATTTGGTAGAATTGAAATATTGGACTATAATATTATGTGTTAATTATAAAAGTGATAAAAATAATTATTTCTATCAAGGATTGTCGTAATATAACTATTAATGTCTAAACAAATTCTTGATGTATAAATTATATATAAAAAAAAATTGGAGTCTTTAATATAATAATGTGGTTGAAAGTTAATACATAAATAAAAAAATTGTAAATTAGTAGATCTAATATTATCAAAATAAAGTATATATACATAGAACTATGTAACATTTTAATTTATTTCGAATTTTAAGAGCTTAATTTTACTTTAGTGAAAAATTAATTGAAAAAAAATAATTATGTTTCGGATATAGTTTTTCAAACGTTGTCAACAAATTTAAATTGTAGTGAAAAGAGAATATATAAAATTAAGGAGGTTACTGCTTTCATTTTGTAAAATGATATACAGAGCGGGATCAGTATTAAGAGGAAATATAATTTAATTAATTAGAAAATATATAGCCCTTTGTAGCCAGAGCCAAACCTTAAAACTAATTTTCTATTAATTATTTGAAAAATAACCTTAATTAGTAACATTTTATTATTTTATAAAACTGAAAAATTTAAATATATATGTGTGTTTTTAAGAAAATATTTTTTGAGTTCTAAAATTTTTTATTAAAAAAATCTCAACTTTTTTTTTCTGATAATTACTGAAAAAATAAACATGCATCAACAATATATATATATATATATATATAAGTGTGTATTTGTGTGCGCGTAGGTGCACGGGCGTGGAGGTCTCACGTGTTAACTATTTTGTCTCCGGCACCAACTTCAGCTGCTTTCTCTTCTTTGACCTCCCCTCTTCTATTTATCTCCCTCTAGTAGCTCGATTATTGGAGTGAGAAGAGAAAACGGAAGTTATCGAAAGATAAGATCAGATTAGGTTGCCCTAATCGCGCAGCACGGGGGGTTTACGCACGATTAATATTCTGCATCATCCTCTATATAAACCATAATATGCTACAGACCTTTCTAAGTGTTATCCAGTATTGCTAACCACTGGTCTTGATCTGATCCGCAGATAGTATTCAATGGATGCTCATGGTTTGCCAACCCATTCCTCCCCAGAACACAGCATAAATGGTAAGTATAGTTTGATCAGTACTGCTTATCCTTTCGTATAAATTTTTCATTGGTGGTGTGTGTTTTGTTTTATCCTAAAATGCAATAAGCTAGGTTTTCCTTGCAACATCAAAGTGAGGAAATCACCGGGATTTTCGACGGTTGGCCCTCAAAAATATGACTGGATTTCCTTTCACTAATGAAATCCTCATTTTCGTGCAAGATCAAGCTGTGTATAGATTTTGTGATGCAGGAGGTTTGGGGCAATATCAATTTGTAATGGATCTAACCAAGTACTCGTGAATTTTTCACTTCTCTTTAACTCCATTTTTCAATTTCTCCTCATACTTGTTAGCACAACGTGAAAGTCATATTCTTGGAAGACCACAAGAACAAAAGGGAAAGAAGAGAAAAAATGGTGGGGAGCATGCGAAAGGTTTCAAGGTAAAGAACGCAAACTCTCTCCCTCTCTCTCTCTCTAATTATATGAACGGAAATTCCAGAGAAAATTAAAAGCAACTTTCTTTTCTTTCTTTTTTATTTTTCTATCATTCTTGTTTTCTAGAAAAGGAAAGAAGGATTGACGCGAGACTTGAAGAATCTGGATAAAGAAATTTCACGGTTGAACAGAAAAATATCAGACCAAGAAAATCTCATGGATAAGTTATTGAATCAGCTGATGGTGCATCTCTTTCTCTCTCCCTCCCTTGCCCTTAAAGTGTTTTAATCCTGCAAATCGTTAGCATTTTACCTACTGATGATTTTAAAGAATCGATAGTATGCGCGTCTAAAACCTAATTAATTAACAACTGTTGTTTGGTTTTCTGTATGATATTATATATTATTTACGATCTTGCAGCCTGGATCTGAAGAACTAGAGTTGCTCAAAGAGGAATTTGCTATCTTACGTCCAGATCCCAATTGGGATACCTGGACGTCGGAAACAAAAAACCTGGTGACATCATCTCTCTGTTGAAATATCGCACCAAGATGCTTGAGAGACAAATTCAACATTTGTATGAGATGAAGTTCAAATGATAATTTTCATGTTGTTTTTGGATATTTATGTTCTTCTAGACAATTATACAGTTTTGTTTTTTGCTCTAAAACTGCAGAAGTTATGTACTTGTTGATGTTCATAGATTTTGAAGAGTTTGATTACGGTGGAAAACATTGTTGCCAGTAAGTCAGGAATTGACCATGCATATTTCTTCTGTTTCATGAAGAGTTTGATAATGGTGGAAAACATTGTTGTCCGTGTCTGTTTCAATTTTTGGGCAACAGGAGATTTTTCAAAAAAATTTCTTTCTATCTATGTTTTTAATGTGAAATCTAAGATGAAAATTGTACCATATCATGAAAATGATCTTAATCTAATGAACGCTATAAGTATATGATATTAATTAAGGTGAAAAGCTATACTAGCAATTTAGTTTATTAAAAGAACCCTAGTTTATTGGTATTTTCAGAAAGGAAAGATTTTATACTGCTACTGATTTTACAACTCAAAAACATAAAAGTTCATATATTTCGAAATATGATTGTAAATTAAGAATCCATAGCGTGTGCGTCTAAAACCTGATTAATTAACGATTGGTGTTTGGTTTTCTGTATGAGATATATATGTGTGTGTGTGTGTGATCTTGCAGCCTGGATCTGAAGAACTTGAGCTGCTCAAAGAGGAATTTGCTATCTTATGTCCAGATCCCAATCGGGATGTCTGGATGTCGTCGGAGACAAAAAAACCTTGCGATCACAAGCAGCTTGGTGTGGTATTTCAATAGAGAGATGATGTCATGACATCATCTCTCAATTGAAATATCCCACCAAGCTGCTTGGTAGACAACTTCAACTTTTGTATGAGCTGGAGTTCAAATGATAATTTTCATGTTGTTTTTAGATATTTATATTCCTCTAGACAGTTGTGCAGTTTTTTTTTTCTAAAACTGCAGAAGTTATGTACTTGTTCATGTTCATAGATTTTGAAGAGTTTGATATTACTGTAAAACTTTTTTGCCAATAAGTCAGGAATTAACCATGCTTATTTCTTTCGTTTCATGAAGAGTTCGATAATGGTGGAAACATTGTTGCCGGTGTCAGTTTCAATTTTTGGGGAACAAGAGATTTTCCGAAAAAAAATCTTCTATCTATGTTTTTAATCTAAAATCTAAGATGAAAACTGTACCATATCATGAAAATGATCTTAATCTAATGAACACTATAAGTATATGATATTAACTTGTTACTGGTGAAAAGCTATATTAGCAATTGAGTTTATCTAAAAGAACCCTAGCTAGCTAGCACACATGTACGCTGATTTAATTCTCTCAGCAACATAAAAATGAATGATACGACAATGAATTAAGAAGTAAGAGTACAAGAGCTGTCTAGGTTGCTTGGTCAACAAAACGCTCGCCTTTCCATTTTTCTTTTTTGTCTTCTTTCCATCCTCATATTCCATACTTTGTCAGTGCTTGGGTCCCTCCGTCGGCAGTGGCGAATAGGCCCAGACAAAACCCACGAATCGCACCTTGTGTTTTCATAAATTTATTAATTAAATCTTTATATTTTTTATTTCATTAATTCAATACTATTTTTAATTTCGGTCAATTGATGACAATTTTCAAAATAATTTTATATAAAATAAGATCCAAATATAATATAATATATCATAAACAAAATAACATTTTTTTTCACAATATAATATGTTTTTTCATTTTAGAAGAGAATCGATTTGTTCTTTTTTATTTTTTTTTCTTTTCGAAACATTGGGTGGACCCCACACCAATACACGTTGAAGTGACGTGAAAAGTGTTTGGCTTCACCTCTAATATGAATATCATACGGAGATCCCACCGTATACGAATATCGATTTCGAAAAATTATACTCAATTGATCGTAATTAAAAATACAAGTGTTGAATTGATAAAATTAAAAAATAAAATTACAATGAATTTATAAAAATACAAGTTTCAGTTTGTGGATTTTGCCCAATAATAGTCCAGAATTGCTACTAACAAATGCCGTTGCATTAGATTGAACTTATTTTGGAAACGTCACCCATACGTATTACTGAAAATTCTACAAGAAACATGTGCTTTATCGTAGAATTTCCCTTTTTCACTCATCAACATAAAGATATTTTAAAAGCAACGGAAGTCATATTGAACGCAAATATGAAAAAATGCACTCCAAAACATGAATTTTCGTAACTTTTTAATCAAGTACTTGAATTCTTTTCTTTTCGATAAAGTATCCCGGCTCCTACTTATTTGTGATTTATCAATCAAGTATTATTTTGATATTTGTTAAAAAAAAAAAAAAAGGCATGAACTTAAAATAACGACAAGACACTTCCAAAATCAAGGCTAATTTAAGTAGTGATAAACCTATGATCTGTATATATTTACTATAAGTTTAATTTTGGTGGAAGTTTTGGTGCTTGAATGAAAGATAAATAGATAGTTCAAATATTTTATCGAATAAAATCGAGATTTAAAATACTCCATGGAGAAAAAACAGAAATAATGGATATACAAACAAATATTTCCATTAAAAATAGCTGTTCAGAACTTGATTGAAAAAAAATAATAATAATAAGAAAGTTCAAGTATTTTAAATATGTACGTATGTATGAGAAGTCTAACAAAAAAAAAAAAAAAAATCATGTACGTGTCACAACAATCAAAACGCGTTTTCACTCTTTCATAGTGAATTACTAGTATATATCTCGTGCGTTATTACGAGGTGAGTTATATAACATTCTTTTGCATTCATTCATATAAAATTTAATATTTACAAATCATTATTTAACAATGTCATGTAAAAATAATTTTAAAAAAACACTAAAATATATATTTCATAATTTGTCGTAGGGTTAGTTAAATGAAAAGTTTGCAAAGTTGAGCAATATAATGTTGGTAATTAGATATTATTTTATATAAACATGTATTTTATTAATAAATAATAATTAAAATAATAATGCGGTAGTTTTTTAAATTTTCGATAATTAATTTTTATCATGTATTATTCATCCGTAATTTGTTAATGAGACAGAGAGATCACTCAAAATAAAAAGATAAAAAAGCTTTGTCAAATCGAGAATTTGACAAAGAAAATAAAGATAAAATTACACCCCATAAAAATTAAATGATTAAAACAAAGTAAAGATTATAAAAAGGATAAAAATAAATAAAAAATATTTCACTAAAAGCATACAAAAAATACTTATAAACAATAAGACTAAAAAAATTTCATTATGAATAAGGTAGGAACAAAGGTAAACATTATATAATTTTAATGACAAAAATAAAAAAATTAATAAAATAAGAATCAAAATAGAAACTTTTTTCACTAAAAAAAAAACTTAGCATAGTAAAAATGTATTTAATTTTAATGTAGAATGAATAATAATTAAATATAATAAAAGTTTAATTATCAAAATAAATGAAAGATCATAAAACAAAAACCAAATATATAACAAAAAAAAATTTACTAAAAGTAAAAAATAGTTCCTTGTAGGAAAAAAATTTAATGATCAAAATAAAAACAAAATTACAAAACAAAGACTAAAAAAAATTCTACTAAATTTAATGAAGAAAACAAAGAAAACAAATCATAAGACAGAAATTAGAATAAAAAGAAAGTTCAAGTAAAAGAAAAAAACAACCTTAGAATAGTAAACTTTATTCACTTTCAGTATAGCAAGGATAAAAATCAAATATGAAAAAACTTTACTAACTAAAATAAAAACATATTAAAAAATAGAAAAAAAGAACAAAAATTTTTACTAAAAGTTAAAAAAAAATTATTATAAGGATAAAAATCACATATAATAAAATTTTAATATTTCGATAGGGATAAAATCAAAGATGAGAAAATTTTAATGACCAAAAAAAAAAAAAAGAAAGAATGGACCAAAATAAAAGTCAATTTCCTAAGCCGAAATGGGAGAAGAAGAAGGAAAAAAAAAAGCCTCGCTCGAGGCCTACATGCCAAGGGCCGATCGAGCCTACGTGTCGAGCCCGGCCGAGCGGCTTGAGCCTCGCTCGGCCCGAGCTCGGGTTGTCGCTCAAGACCCAAAAAAAAAAACAGTTTTCAACTTTCGACGAATCGAGATCATCGAATCTTCATCAAAAAATCAGGATCAAGTTTCGGACCCCTAGAAATTGAATTCGGCATCGTTTTTTCCTCAAACACCTCTAAATGACTCGAATAAAGTCAATAAACATATCTAAAACCTTAAAAATTATTTTAATGCACACAAAAATAAAATAAAAAATTACACAATCAAATCGGAACATTGTTTTGTTTTTTGGCTCCAATATACCTCCTCTAATTGTTTAATGGCTTAAAACAACTATGGACAAACTTATCTCTCAAAGATAAAAAAATCTAGTAGATTTTCGTCGCCAAAATGGCCTAAATAAGCTTGGCCGGTGATCTCTCTCTTTCTCCTCTCGTCTCTCCCTTCTTTCTCATCCAGGGATCAAAATGAATAAACGAGATGAAGATGTGTATCGAAATATTCGTTGACAAATATCATGGATCAAAATGTAAAAAAACTAATGAATAGTAAAATATTAGTATATGAACAATATTTAAAACAGTAAATTAACATTTTATTTTAGGTTATTTAGTTAATTATATTCGACAGGCCCATATATTGTTGGTCATGCTTGAAAACATCCATAAACATTTGACTTTTCGGTGATTCCAATGAAAAATTGGTCGACACTTAAAGAGCCTAGTCCAATTTCTTCCGATCTTTGTGGTAAGGGAGCTAAAGACAAGTTTTAATTTGTGGAGTATTTTCTATTCTCACTTCATCGGCTATGGTTAAATTAACTAGCTTTTATTTAATAACATTTTTTGTTTAGATATAAAAGTTCATGATATCCGTAAGTGAAAACCACCGAATCACTTTGCCATAAGGAAATTATACATAAAAAAAAATCTTTATAATCTAGAAAATATAAATAAAATTTGATGTAATCAAGAAACTGAATTCTCTTTAATCATATTTTATCGTGTGAAAATAAAGACATTTTTGTTTACATATAAAATTTTATGATATCAAATATTGAGAAACCACAAAGAAAAAAATTAATTTACTATGAAGAACTTCTATCAAAAAGAAATTTTGTAAAATGATAAACAGAGCGGGATTAGTATTAAGAGGAAATATAATTTAATTAATTAGGAAATATATAGCCCTTTGCTAGCTAGAGCCAAACCTTAAAACTAGTTTTCTATTAATTATTTGACAAATAACCTTAATTAGTAACATTTTATTATTTTATAAAACTCAAAAATTAAAATATATGTGTGTGTTTTTAAGAAAATAGTTTTTGAATTCTACAATTTTTTATTTTTTACAAAAAAATCTCAACTTTCTTTTTCTGATAATTACTAAAAAATATAAATATGCACCAACAATATATTAATATATATATGTGTGTATGTATGTATGTAGGTGCGTTTGTGGGCATGGGTTCTTACGTGTTGACTATTTCGTCTCCGGCACCAATTTCAGCTGCTTCTCTTCTTTGACCTCCCCCTCTTCCATTTATGTCCCTATAGTAGCTCAATTATTGGAGTGAGAAGAGAACGGAAGTTATCGAAAGAAAAGATCAGATTAGGTTATCCTGTCGTGCAGCACGGTGCGGTTTTCGCACCATTAACATTCTGCATCACCTTTATATAAACCATCACAGACCTTTCCAAGTGTTATCCAGTATTGCTAACCACTGGTCTTGATTTGATCCGCAGATAGTGTTCAATGGATGCTCATGGTTTGCCAACCCATTCCTCCCCAGAACACAGCATAAATGATAAGTATAGTTTGATCAGTGCTGCTTATCCTTTCGTATAAATTTTTCATTGGTGGTGTGTGTTTTGTTTTATCCTAAAATGCATTAAGCTAGGTTTTCCTTGCAACATCAAAGTGAGGAAATCACCGGGATTTTCGACGGTTGGCCCTCAAAAATATGACTGGATTTCCTTTCACTAATGAAATCCTCATTTTCGTGCTAGATCAAGCTGTGTATAGATTTTGTGATGCACGAGGTTTGGGGCAATATCGATGTGTAATGGATCTAACCAAGTACTCGTGAATTTTTCACTTCTCTTTAACTCCATTTTTCAATTTCTCCTCATACTTGTTAGCACAACGTGAAAGTCATGTTCTTGGAAGACCACAAGAACAAATGGGAAAGAAGAGAAAAAATGATGGGGAGCATGCGAAAGGTTTCAAGGTAAAGAACGCAAACTCTCTCCCTCTCTCTCTCTAATTATATGAATTCCAGAGAAAATTAAAAGCAACTTTCTTTCTTTTTTATTTTTGTATCATTCTTGTTTTCTAGAAAAGGAAAGAAGGGCTGACGCGAGACTTGAAGAATCTGGATAAAGAAATTTCACGGTTGAACAGAAAAATATCAGACCAAGAAAATCTCATGGATAAGTTATTGAATCAGCTGATGGTGCATCTCTTTCTCTCTCTCCCCTTGCCCTTAAAGTGTTTTAATCCTGCAAATCGTTAGCATTTTACCCACTGATGATTTTAAAGAATCGATAGTGTGCGCGTCTAAAACCTAATTAATTAACAACTGTTGTTTGATTTTCTGTATGATATTATATATTATTTACGATCTTGCAGCCTGGATCTGAAGAACCAGAGTTGCTCAGAAAGGAATTTGCTATCTTACGTCCAGATCCCAATTGGGATACCTGGACGTCGGAAACAAAAAAACCTGGTGACATCATCTCTCTGTTGAAATATCGCACCAAGATGCTTGAGAGACAAATTCAACATTTGTATGAGATGAAGTTCAAATGATAATTTTCATGTTGTTTTTGGATATTTATGTTCTTCTAGACAATTATGCAGTTTTGTTTTTTGCTCTAAAACTGCAGAAGTTATGTACTTGTTGATGTTCATAGATTTTGAAGAGTTTGATTACGGTGTAAACATTGTTGCCAGTAAGTCAGGAATTAACCATGCATATTTCTTCTGTTTCATGAAGAGTTTGATAATGGTGGAAAACATTGTTGCCCGTGTCTGTTTCAATTTTTGGGCAACAGGAGATTTTTCAAAAAAATTTCTTTCTATCTATGTTTTTAATCTAAAATCTAAGATGAAAATTGTACCATATGATGAAAATTTTCTTAATCTAATGAACACTATAAGCATATGATATTAATTATCAGCAATTTAGTTTATTAAAAGAACCCTAGCTTATTGGTATTTTTAGAAAGGAAAGATTTTACACTGGTAATGAATTGACAACTCAATAAAGTCCGAGTTGAAAAAATAAACAATTAAATGCCTACATGTGGAGCATTGTTTGTCGACATATACAGCACACGTGTACGCTGATTTAATTCTCTCAGCAACATAAAAATGAATGATACAACAATGAATTAAGAAGTGAAAGTAAAAGAGCTGTATGGGTTGCTTGGTCAACAAAAACGCTTTGCCTTTCAATTTTTCATTTTTCCATGCTTTGTCAGTGCTTGGGTCCCCCTGTCGGCAATTGTAAGGCGCTCAATGGCGAATAGGCTACTGAACCCGGCCTAGACAAAACCCACGAATCGCATCTTCTGTTTTCATAAAATTTATTACTTAAATCTTTATATTTTTTATTTCATTAATTCAATACTATTTTTAATTGTGGTCGATTGATGACAATTTTCAAAATAATTTTATATAAAACAAGATCCACACACACACATATAAAAATTATATGTTTTTCACAACATGAGATGTTTCTTCATTGGAAAAGAGGATCGATTTGTCCTTTTTCTTTTTCTTTTTGCCTTTTTGAAACATTGGGTGGACCCCTCACCAATGGAAGTTGAAGAAGTAACGTGAAATGCGTTTGGCTTCATCTCTAATAGGAGTATCATATGCAGATCCCACCGTATTTGAATATGGATTTTAATTGATCGTAATTAAAAATATAAGTGTTGAATTGATAAAATTAAAAAATAAAATTACGATGAATTTATAAAAAAACAAGTTGCAGTTAGTGGATTTTGCCCAAAAAATATTGCTAACTAACCCTTCAAATTATACATGTGTTCAAGTATCATGAAATTAAACAAAAAATAAAATTGGTGAAAAATATACCTTAAAAATACATGTATCTATTATAGTGGAGGTCTTTTATTTTTATTTTCCCCAAAGCAAGATATTTTTAATCTTATTTTTCCTAACAAGTGATTTATTTCCTATAGACTATATTTGTACATGCCACTTTTGTATTTAATCAATAAATTATTCAAATGGCATTTTTCTAATGTAATTAAAAAATAACAATATGTCACTTTCTCGCTCCAGCCTGTTATGATGGTTTCATTTTCTTCTTCTTTTTTTTTTTTAATTGTCCAACTTTTGGAAAGGGTAGTCATTGTTATGTGATCATCCCACTTAATTTAAAGTTATATAAAATTAAGGAAAGGTTAATGCAATATTGTTTCGACGCTGAGCCAAATCCCAACAAAAGAAGTGGATAGAAGTTTTTGTTTGATGAGAAGAAAAATGGCAGACGGTTATCTTTCTTTCAATGTATTCATATATATCCTACAATCCATTTATGATGAATTTAAAGAGAACTTTCCTTTGTAATGGATTATTCAATTCAATAGTAAATCTAACAACATGATTTACAGCTACAAGATCACTCAAATCTAGCTGTTCCATAGCAGAATCTCAATATCCATTGTCGATGTCGTAACCCAGTTTTTGGGTTATATTTTTCCCCTGATTTCATCCATTTTAGTTTTATTATTATTTTCATTTACTTTATCCTCCTTTATCATTTTGGTTATTCATTATTTTTATTTCATTCTAATTTTTATGCATTTTTATTTTATTTTATTTTAGTAATTATTATTAAAAAAAAAGTTTAAAAATAAGAAAAAGAAAACAAAAATGTAAAAAAAAAAAGAAAAAATATAAAAATACAAAGGTTAGGCTTAATCAAAGGCATTATCGCATTAAATCAGCTTGGAATTGGAAGCTAATAGGGGCCAAATTAAACAAAAATAAGGTTGAATTAAGGACATAATTGAAAGGAATAAGAGGACATGATTAAATAATTTTTGAAAGTTGAGGAGCCGATTTGGAAAATTACTAAAAATCAAAATTTGAGATAGTTCAACTGTCTCCTACGTTTCAAAACCATTTCACCGTAAATGGTTTTGATTTCTCCGGTTTTCTAACTAAATTGGATTCCTCCGACCAGTTCATCGATCCAGCGTTCTTTGGTCCATCAGCTTGCACCGTAAAATGATAAACGATTAGAACGTTAAGAAATAACAAAATGGAGAGAGAGAGAGAGAGAGATTGGATCGAATGGCTAATAGTAAAGGAAGGAGAGGAAAAATTGGTTAGGGTTAGCAAAAATTGGGTATAAATAAAAGTGTTTTGGAGGTCAAACTAGGGGATCGAAGAGAGAAAAACAAAAATCGAGTAGAGAGTGTAAATAAAGGATCCGCGTATTCGAGTTTTCTAGATTCGCTTCAAGTTATAGGTATTGTTCTTGAAATTATGAATTTTGTTTGAATTTCTAGGTTTGTGTTCTTGAGTTTCTAGGTTTTGGTTGAGTTTTTAGGTTTTTCTTAAATTTTTGGATTTTGGTTTGAATGATTATGGGTCCTTTAAATCTCCGGGTTTTGAGAGAGAAGACTTAAAACGAGATTAAAAAAGGATTGAAATGAGAGAGGAGAGTTGTTCGGGTTCATAATTTCTAGGTCTTTCGCTTTGATTTACTAGGTCTTAAGATCATTAGAAACCTATTTCTTTAAATGATTTTTCCAATCCTCAATGACAAAAACAACACACTCCCTATTTCCTAGTCCTAAGTACATCGCAAGCCACTCCTAAGTTCCGGAATCAACAATAACATATTCGATCCTTAGGTCAAAGCGCTCCAATTCAACTTGCAAAATCATCAACAACAAAACGAGCCTTGAAAGTCATCCTTCATTCCTTCGATTTCATTCGAGTAATCTTAATCTCATCCCCATTCCATTTTTCATGTTAATGCTTAAGTTCAAGGATTGATAAAGGTTTATGACAGGTGACATGCTCACTACCATAACAACTTCCTTGATGTTTGATCATTAGATACTCGAGTGATAGGGAATTGAAGGTTGATTTTGTTGTTATTTTTAGAGAAAGTAAGCTCCTTTGATGATGATTATTGGCCAACCGAAGAGAAGCTATGGAAGATATAAAGGAGTGGACATTCAATCCAAGAAAAGGAGAAAGAAAATAAAGGGAAAAGAAAGAAAAGAGAGAAAAAGATAAGAAGTGGGGTTGGAAGAAAAAAGAGAAAATGGGTCGGGTCTAGCCCAGCTCGAAAAAGAAAATTGGAAGGAAATAATCCTAGTGGGTTCAAGCCAATCCATTGGGGTCAACCGAGTGGACTTAATCCAATAAGCCCGGTCCTAGTGGGCTTAGCCCAATGAGCCCAAATGGTCTAATAACCTCATTTTTTGCTTTTTTCTTGGAGAATCATGCTTGAATTTCTCTAACGTATGCTTTTATTTTTAATGCCTAGTTTATATTTAATTCCTTTAAATTGTTCATTTGTTTACTTGTTAGTTTATTTGATGGAAATGTTTAATTATTTTGGTTATCTTTTAAGAATTAGAATAGATAATTAATCGATGAATGAATTATTGAGTCTCCTAATTTTTAAGGACTAATGATGATTCCTCACAAAACAAAACACAACAAAACAATAAAAAAATAAGTAAAATAAAAAGAAAAAAAATGATAGGAAAAATAAAATAAACTATAGAGATAAAGAGAAAAGAAAAGGAAGAATCTAGGAAAAATGCCAAAAAAAGGAAGAAAATCCTAGGTAAATAATAAAAAAATAGAAAAATTTAGGAAAAAATAACAAAGTTTCTTATCTAATAGGGACTATGTTAGCCAAATAAACCATTTTAGTAATTAGGTAGTTTTCCGACATACCGGTTATATTGAGACTTAAAGTGGATCCGATGTAAAATTGATGTGACTCCCGACGGAGAGGTCCGACTATGATGCCACAAACAAAAATAAAAATATTAATTTGGCCTAAAAAATAAAACTTAGAGTTCGAATTAGAAATAATTTAGCATAAATAAAACATCGTAAGAGATAAATTTTTGGATTAACCTCGACATGGTACCTTTCTTAGAAAATTATGTTTTTAAGTGATTGATATCTTCTTAAAGGTATAACCAACTCCTTATCCTAAAATCTTTAAACTAGTGTCATTTCGGGTTTCTAATTACTTTTAATACTAGGTGGCAACTACAAAATCTATAATAACTCATATCCCTCCAAACAAACAAAATAAATCACTAAATTTAATTTTTGAGAGTCCTATGAATGTCGAGTAGCGATAGAATGGCGACTCCATTTAGAAATTTGAGTTAGGCCATAGGTTTAGTCTTTATTAATATATCTTTGTTATTTAGTTTTGCCATTTATTTTTCAAGTCATTATTTGTTGCATTTTAATTTACGTACATATTTAATTTTTCAAACTCGGTTGGATATACTTATTTTAAACCGTTACACATACCACGAAGGAAGCTTACAAAAGCTCTGGACCTAAGTTAAAATCCTATTAGGATTTAGATAGAGAGATTTAGAGATAAGTATGATGAAAGTCTACAAATGCTTGTTCGGACTTTAGTTTGGACTCTATTTTAGACCGGAACTCACCTTATGTATAGGAAATGGCAAGCATTACCTCCCCTACCTCCTAATGCATAAGTTTAGAGGTTGGATTATCTCACTAGTAACTTAGATAGTCTAGAGACTTGAAAAGACTTC